CTCAATCACCTTGCCCAAGAATGGAAGATTTGAGACTGGGCGATAGTTGGCCATCGTGGCCGCATCTAAAGATGGTTTTTTAAGAAGCGGTTTAATAACCGCCTCTTTCAACGGGTCTGGGAAGGTTCCCTCACGGAGGGAAGCATTCACCACCCCACGAAGCCCATCGCCCAGCCCTTCCCGGCTAGCTTTTATAAGCCAGGATGGGCAAGGATCCAGGAGACAGGTGGTTGGTTTCACTCGTCCAAGCAGCCTGTCCACATCCTCGGAGGTAACAGATTGGAATTGATCCCACGCAATTTGACTAGACAGGACTCTAGCACTCTCCCGCCCTGGCCCTGCTCCCACGGTGGCGTCTACCTCTTCCTGAATCTGAGCGACTTTATCTGCAAAAAACTTTGCAAAATCATTGCAGGAGATCATGTGGCCCGTACTGGGCCCCGATGTAGCAGGTGGTTCCGCTAAATTGCGGACCACCTGAAAAAGTCTCCTGCTGCTGTTTTCTGCAGATGCAATAGAGGCGGCGAAGAAGGCCTTCTTCGCCGTCGCTACCGCCACTTGGTAGGCTCGACACTGAGCTCTAACCTGTGTCCGGTCAGCTTCAGAATGGGTCATCCGCCACCGGCGCTCTAGCCGTCTCAACGATTGTTTCATTGCCCTCAGATCCATGGAAAACCACGGGGCTGTCCGGGCTCCATGCAATCGGAGAGGGCGCTTCGGAGCCAAACAGTCAATAGCCCTGGTTAACTCCACATTCCAGCGGGCCACCAGGGAATCAGCTGAAAGGCCATCAACATGGGATAAAGCATCCCCTACCACTCTCTGGAAGCCATTTGGATCCATTAAGTGGCGGGGGCGGACCATCCGAATTGGTCCCACCTCCCTGCAGAGGGGAAGGGTCGCGGGGGAGATTTATAGTACTAGTCACTACTCCCCCCCCCACAATTAAATAGACTCCATGCTAATGTTGATGTGATTCTCGAATGTGTTTTTTTTAAAACCATCTCACAAATCCACAGTTTTTGTCAAAGAACTGTGAGGTGAGCAGTCAAGAAGTTCCGTCTCCATTGCTCATGCTAAAAAGTTTGCTCTGAAACTGTCCACAGAGTTTAAGGATTTATGCAATTCAGTGCCTTGGCAGATGTTTATGGGGAATCACAGTAATCCTGGTAAATGAAATGCATTCGAGAAGAGCTAATGAAGTTTATAACTGAGTTCTTAGCTTACTACATAATGTCTTAATTTGTGAGAGGGTGAGAGGCTTGTATGACTGCTTGAAACGGGAATTCCTTACGCAAACCCGTATCTGAAGACGTGTGCATGCACACAAAAGCTTATATCTAGAACCGACTTAGTTGGTCTCTAAGGTGCTACTGGACTATTTTTTAATTTTTTATTTCCCTTTCACCTGGTTGATACAGTGGTACCTCAGGTTAAGTACTTAATTCGTTCCGGAGGTCCGTACTTAACCTGAAACTGTTCTTAACCTGAAGCACCACTTTAGCTAATGGGGCCTCCTGCTGCTGCCGCACCGCCAGAGCACGATTTCTGTTCTCATCCTGAAGCAAAGTTCTTAACCTAAAGCACTATTTCTGGGTTAGCGGAGTCTGTAACCTGAAGCGTATGTAACCTGAAGCGTATGTAACCTGAGGTATCACTGAATTTTCAACCAATTTTATTTGGTCCACAGCACCGTTCTTCGGTTAAAGCAAAACTTAAAATGAGGCACAAACTTTCAGCACCAAATGACCTACTAGCAAGACTATTTTCTCTATAGGAAGCACTAATGGTGCAATGCTATGCCTCTGTGAAGTCCATTATACCCATTAACAAGTAACGATTGCAAGCTTTTAAAACTAAGCCACTGAACACCCAATCCACAAATTATTATTATTATTACTATTAAGAATGAAAAGAGCAAAATGTTTTGCAAGACAAACATTTGCCATCATGATGAGCTTTGCTGCTTTGCTTTCTGGCAATTCTAGAAATTCTGCAAGAAATACTGCAAGTATGCAAGCTCCTCTTCGCCCAAATAACCAGCGATAAATATTCTGACAAGAATGACTTGACAAAAAAAATAAGGAGGCTTCTTATCAATGAAAATAGTGCGGTCAGCTTAGAGTTAGACACTTTCAGTTAAATCCTTGGCCATCTGTCAGGCATTTAGCTGTGATTCCTGCAATGCAACGGGTTAGACTAGATTATTCTTGGGATCCTGTCCAACTCTACAGTTGAAACTTTTGGCCTTCCAGATGTTGCTGAACTACAACTCTCATAATCTCTTGGCATTGGCCATTCTTGCTGAGACTGATTGGAGTTGTAATTCAGCAATTCATGAACAAGAACCACATGTCCCAATTCGAACCATGGGAAGAGTCCACTTTCTACATCCCTCTATTGGGAAAACTGTAATATTCTCTAGTTTCCTTTCTTAAACCAGTTACTGAGCCATAAGTCTCATTGTTTAATTGACACTGAAATGGAGAATGTCTATGTGTATTGCTGAAAGGGTTTAACTGGAAGATTCCATTGAATCTAAAGAGAAGCAAGAAGAGCTCTCTGAGCTCCTTGACAGGTTGTTAATTAACTGTTATTGTTCTCTGGTAGCTCTGAGGAGGTGTTTAACTTTAGATGACGTGGGAGGCCACTGAATTGCAAATTCGCCATCTTGGAAGGGTGGTGGCTGGAGACTTTGTTCCTAGGCTCCATGGAAGTAGGGCGTAAATAATAAGCACTTCAGGAACACACAGCCTCAGACTGTAATGGGGGCGAGAATCATAGAATCTTATTGTTGGAAGGGACCCCAAGGGTCATCTAGTCCAGTGTTTCCCAACCTTGTGCCTCCAGCTGTTTTTGAACTACAACTCCCATCATCCCTGACTAGCAAGACCAGTGGCAAGGGATGATGGGAATTGTAGTCCAAAAACAGCTGGAGGCACAAGGTTGGGAAACACTGATCTAGTCCAACCCCCTGAAATGCAGGAATCTGGGAGAGACAGAATTTTGATCTGGATTTTGATCCTGATTCTGATGCTGAGCCTATGCTGCCCTAAGCCTATTGTTATGGAACTGTTTGGATGTATCATTTACTTTTTTCTGTTTTGAAGAAAGTTCTGCAAGTAAAGTTTTGAATAATATCTAATAGGTCTGGACAATGTTTCATTCCAAAAATGTTTCATTCCACTCTACAGTTATGTGATTCCACCTCTGTTTTGTACTATATTCTTGCATTTTCAGGATTTTCAAGCCCATTAAGTGTATTTCTAAGGACTACTGGTTTTCCTACTATGCCAATTGGAGGTTTAAGTGACCAAGACATTATACAAAAATGTAACTGCACAATGGACACCCCTAGCAGCCCTCCTCGTACGCAGCACATCAAAACAGAAATTCCCAAGACCCTGTCTAGTCTCCACAACAATGCCTAAGAGAGTTTCTTTCTTATACTTAAAAGCCTTACAAGTAGTGATGTTTCAGGATTTAAATATAATATTCCAACTCTAAATATTCTCACCCAGCAGAGCTATAAAGGCCCTAAATGGCACTTTTTATGTCGGCTGCTGCTGAGGTGGTCCTGTTGCTTGTCTGCCGAAAAAGGCAGCTGACACCACTCTCAAGTGCATCACTGCGCTTGGATTTTTGTCCCTGCATTTGGCTGACCCCACAAACATCCCTCCACCCCACCAGCTGTAACATGTCCCTTGGCAAGACGAGGCAGGCAGATTTAATATTGCAAAACTTCTGCTAGTAAAATGCCTTGCTAACATGCTCAATGCTGTCAACAACTCCATGCTTTTACTTAATAGGACCACTTCTGCCTAACCAGGCAGTGGATAAAAATCCATGTTTTTCTTATATAGAAACAATTGGATTAATACATTATATATATATATACATATATACACATATACACATATACATATATATACATACATATATATATATATATATATATATATATATATATAGGATTTTGGGTTAGATCCAAAGTGCATCTTCAGCCCTTGATCATAAAAGGTTTATTTTACACTTGCAACTAGAGGTTTGTATGAGAAAGGCAAAACTAGTCCAAAGGTGGTGTTCTGCTTGCTCTAAAGCAGGGTTTCCAAAACTTGGGTCTCCAACTGTTTTTGGACTACAATTCCCATCAGGCCAGGGATGATGGGAATTGTAAGCCAAAACAGCTGGGGACCCAGGTTTAGGAAACACTGCTTTAAACCTTGTGCAGCAGAAAAAAGGAGGGGGTATGGGAACAAGAAGAGAGAACCTTTAAGATCCACTAAATTATAATTTATTCAGTTAATCTTAGCCGGAGAAATGACAAAATAGTATGCAAAAGTTGTGCAATCGTTTCCATGTTCAGAAGCATGAGAATGGTGATAGAACTGACATATAGCACCATATCTACTTCTGCAATAACTCTTGTTAAGTATTTGTGAAAAGGCACTAGCGGCTACTTTCCTTCAGTTCATGATTATTTCAACCCAACATCTGAGTGTGTGTGCGTAGATTTTTTTAAAATGAATGGGCGGAATCCAACTGGCGCACTATCTCACGGAAGGGATTGCAATCCATCAGAGGCATCAGTACGATAATCTTTATTGTCATTGTCCCATACAGAACAACGAAATTGAAAAAATCTACATCAGACATTCAAAAACCAACAAGCCTGCTATCTCAGCTATCCTAGCCTGGTTAGCCCCCTAAAAACTCTGATACCCCATAATTAAATACAATATACTCCCATAGAGACTACCTTACACTGCGTTTAAAACCAAGAGGCAAAACTAAGAGACAAGAGGGAAGGCAATAAACAACTATTTTACTTTTAAAAGACAACTGAAGGCAGCCCTCTTCAGGGAAGTTTTTAACCTCTGATGCTGTACTGTTTTTAATATTCAGTTGGAAGCCGCCCAGAGTGGCTGGGGAAACCCAGCCAGATGGGCGGGGTATAAATAATAAATTATTATTATTATTATTATTATTATTATTGCTAAATTTGCCTTTCTCCTTGTCACCTGCTATGCCACCTTACAGCCTGTTCTACAGGGCTCTCCAACTCTTTGAATATGTTTTTGGTGGGAGCTGCAAGGGAGAGGGAGAAATTAAAAATCACCTTCCCTCATCTTCCATTAGCAGGTGCCTCTGCTACCATGAGCATAGGGGAGCCACTTACATTCCACCCTGTCTTATTCCTTTTATAATAAAACTGGAAACATATCCCTAGAATGTAATCATACTTAAGTGCCATTAAAAAAAAGAACAGATATACTGCAAATTTGGGTTCAAGGTTCCATATGTTATTGTTAATATGCTGCTGCAAATCCATGCCCATGCCTAATACAGTAAGCCTGTAACTTATGCACATATAACTTGCGCACTTGGCAAGCACAACAAAATGTTTAAAAATCAAATAAAAAGGGGGCGGAATAGGGAGCGGGCGTCCAGGAAAAAAGACTTTGGCAATCACACCTGCTATTGCATCCAATGTGTTTTGAGTTTAAGCGCAATCCTTGGATCATAATCCCTATGTAAATTGAGGGCTTGCTGTACTAGGAGTGCTTATGAACTGAATGTGAAAGAGTACAATTTTTATTTATTAGTAGAGTTTGGTTTTGAAAACATCAAATGTGACAGTTGTTTCTCCTCCCGCCCCCCTGCAAGTTCCCAAAAATGTACATCACTTTCAAGATGATTATTTCTGCCATAGGTAAACTTAGCTAAAGGGACATAGAGACCACTCAGTGCTGATCACTCTGAGATTGAAAGCCACCTTGAAGATAGGACAGCTATGCACATGGGATATGTAAAGAACAGGAATAAGCAGCTGTTCCATCTTCTTCACTTGACTAGCACCCCAGAGCTGCCTAATCCTATTTTTAAACAGTTTACACCTGAGAGAGACTTTTTCCTCCCAAATGGCCAGTAAAATCAAGCGGTGGTAATTGCTGTGAAGTTTGAGATTTCATATCTCTTCTTCTTCTTCAACCTACAGATTGTTCATAAGCAAAGGGAACAAAGATTTGCACATTACTTCCAACGTGGTTTAAAGGAATTACTTCAAAAGATCTGATAAATATTTCATTTTGTGTTCGAACCTGTTAAAACTAATTTTGTACAGCGGGGTATCTGAAAGATGTTTAAAATAATTTGAGATCAGAAGCAGAGGTGGGTAATAAGGGGGGGTGACCTTTAAATCTACATAATACAACAATTCATTTTAAATTAACGCTGAGCAAACATGGTAAGCAGCTGTCTTACAAGTAACGAGTGATGTGGAGCAAACACAGCAAAGGAAGCCCCTTCTGAAGGCTTTCTACCCAAGGGGTACATTAAGTGACCCCCACCCCACCCTACATAACAATAACAATATAGTTATACCTTGGGTTGAAGTAGCTTCGGGATGAGTATTTTCAGGTTGCGCTCCGCGGCGACCCGGAAGTAACGGAGCACATTACTTCCGGGTTTCGCCGCTCACACATGCACAGATGGTCAAAATGATATCATGCGCATGAGCTGAAGCGGTGAATTGCGACCTGCGGACGCGGGTTGCGTTCGCTTTAGGATGTGAACGGGGCTCCGGAACGGATCCCGTTCGCATCCAGAGGTACCACTGTAATACACTGTGATGTAGAACCATATATACAATATACACTGTACATATTACATACAATATAAAAATTACATTGGAGCATTATAATCAGATGGTCTGCATCACGTTTTGGAGTTAGTAAGTGAATGGTAAAGAAGAGAAGAGACTTAGTAAGACCAGCTCCTCCAGATGCAAAATAAAACCTGGAACTCAAGTCTGAGGCTTGGCACAGCTGCAAACACAGCTGCAACACAGGATCCCTTGTGGTGTGAGAAATCACAGAAAAGGCTGCGTGTTGTTATTCAGAGGATCTCTCAGAGAAAATGCAAAGGTGGAGCAAGTTGCTTCATTTTTCCCCTTTGAAAAATTTTGCTTATACAAACTGCCCTGCTAGAAAACTCACTAATGTGCGTTGGTTATAATACTAAGATTTGGCTGCCTTTACTTAGGCTGGCAAGTTAGAACAAATTTATAACTGAAATTTGCATCAATCAAGTTTGCACTTTGGGACCTGGCAGTCAATAGCAAAAGCCCCAACCCCCCCCCCCCAAAAAAAAACAACTTGCCCCAGCCATTTAGGTCTTTACTGGCCCAACTAGAGCAAGGGAATGCTACCCCCTGAGGATGCAATGCAAGGTTTCCCTGGTGCCTCTCTCACCTTTAAAACCCCTCACACTTCCTGCTTGTTACAACGCAGTACTTTCACCAAAAAGACTTGGACACAGAAATACAAAATACCAAAGAAAAAGAAAGAGGCATTCAGGATTGATAAGAATGTAAGTCCTGAAATGTTTTGCAATACAGATTTGTCACGGAGACAGAGGTCTAAAACCATTTGTATGAATATGTTTAGATTTTGACCACACTTATTCTGCAATTGTGTCTTTTGGTTTCTTGTTTCCCAGAAAATGTGTATAGAACAGGATTAGAGGCAATGTTTGTGAATTATATTTGTAAAAGGACATGTGGCTTAAATTTGATGAAAAAGAAGAAAGAAAGAAAGAAAGAAAGGAAGGAAGGAAGGAAGGAAGGAAGGAAGGAAGGAAGGAAGACTCAAAAGCTTGGAAAGCTCTTTCAGAAAGAAAATGTGTGGCCAACAGCTCTGCAATGCCACCAAAGGCCTAGAAAACTTACACGGCTATAAGCAACAGTAACCGCTCTGAATAAGAGGAAGCACCATTTTAAATTCTAGTGAATTTATTTTTGTATGGAGCATAGAGTAGCAAATGTATTTTAGAATAAAAACAAATTATTGCTAATTGAGTAGTTGCACTATTGAAGACAATATAGGTACAATACAAGAATAAGGTACCTATGCATTTAGATCATGGAATGTAACGTTATAAAGCAGTGTTTTAATGATTAATCCATCCTTCCTTCTCAAAGTACCATTTTCAACCACTATTTCATTGCCCCAATCAGTTTTGAAATTAAGATAGTATTTATCTGCAGAACATCTCCATGGTCAAGGAAACCAGAAAGGGTTCCAAACTGAAATCACCATGACGTATAGATTATAAAAGATTGCAAACTGATTGCACAATAAGGTTAGAAGTAAAACAGCAACCACACAAATAATAAACAGCACTTTTTAAAGTGGGGGGGGGGCAGAGAGAGTCTGGGCAGGTTGTGTTTGAAACAGTTTACTTTTAGGGGGGAAACTTACAAAGCCAAGTGTCTATTGCCATTTTCTGCTGTTCAATAACACCAAATAAAGTATGTATCAATTTTGAATCTGAGAAAGAAATACTGGAACCCAATCTTTTCAGAGCAAAAAGACTGCCACTAAGCATTTAATACCGAACAAAAACTCAGGATCAAATAAAACTACTGAATATAGCAGGCTGTGAAAATAAAGGTTTATAATCAGCCTCCAACATAAGAAGCACACTAAGTTGTAAACTCCCAGTATGTTGTGAGAAATTAAAGGCTTATGTGAGGCCCAAAGGTTTCTTTATTTGCACCCCACCTTTCTTCAGTCGTGGAACTCATGAGAACCAGTGTGGTATAGAGGTTAGAGTCCTAGACTAAGTCCAGGGTTCAGATCCTCACTCGGTCATGAAGCTCACTTGGGCAGTCAATCGCTCTCAGGCTGACCTACCTCACAAGGTTGTTGTGAGGATAAAATGGGGAGAACTATGTACACCACCTTGAGGTAAAGGTGGGATTTAGATGCAATAAACAAACAAACAAATTAGAAGCTGTATATGGAGTTCCTAGGCAGATTTGGATCCAGGCACTCATCAGAGCTAAACCTTCTTAGCTTTAGTAAAGTGCCTGAATCAAGTTCCCTTATCTCCCAATGATGCATCGTGCCTGCTTTCTCGATTCAGACTCCCTTGAGGCTGGGTGATCCTGCAATTTTATCATTCACAGACTCCTGATGCAGCCACAGCAGAACTACCCACCTTCAGAGGCTGCACATTTTATATTTGCATGGTTCACTGCCATAGGTTTGCCTCTTTCTAAACCAGGTAACCCTCTTTGCTAGCTGCTCACTTGTTTACTTTTCAAAACAGCAGCCTTCTTTACGTCGTGTAATACTGCACTTTTATTTCCAGCTCTACGACGTCATTATTTTTTAGATGTGGCAACCGGAACGGAAGACAGTATTCAAAGCACAGTCAAACCATATTTGTACAGCAGCATTAGTATATTGGCAATTTCATTTTCAGTCCCTTTCCTAATGACACCTAACAAGGAATATGCCTCTTTTCACAGCTGCTGCACCCTGGGTCAACATCTTCATCAAGCTATCCACCTTGGTTCCATTATCCCTTTCCTGCTCAATCACCTTCAGTTCAGTGCAAAGCCCATGTGGGGAAACTTTTGGCCTTCCAGATGTTGCTGAACTACAACTCTCATAATCTCTTGGCATTAGCCATTCTTGCTGAGACTGATTGGAGTTGTAATTCAGCAATTCATGAACAAGAATCACATGTCCCAATTCGAACCATGGGAAGAGTCCACTTTCTACATCCCTCTATTGGGAAAACTGTAATATTCTCTAGTTTCCTTTCTTAAACCAGTTACTGATCCATAAGTCTAACTGTTTAATTGACACTGAAATGGAGAATGTCTATGTGTATTGCTGAAAGGGTTTAACTGGAAGATTCCATTGAATCTAAAGAGAAGCAAGAAGAGCTCTCTGAGCTCCTTGACAGGTTGTTAATTAACTGTTATTGTTCTCTGGTAGCTCTGAGGAGGTGTTTAACTTTAGGTGACATGGGAGGCCACTAAATTGCAAATTCGCCATCTTGGAAGGGTGGTGGCTGGAGACTTTGTTCCTAGGCTCCATGGAAGTAGGGCGTAAATAATAAGCACTTCAGGAACAGACAGCCTCAGACTGTAATGGGGGCAAGAATCATACAATCTTATTGTTGGAAGGGACCTCAAGGGTCATCTAGTCCAACCCTCTGTAATGCAGGAATCTCAGAGAGACAGAATTTTGATCCTGATTCTGATGCTGAGCCTATGCTCAGTTATGGAACTGTTTGGATGTATCATTTACTTTTTTCTGTTTTGAAGAAAGTTCTGCAAGTAAAGTTTTGAATAATATCTAATAGGTCTGGACAATGTTTCATTCCAAAAAAGTCGGTTTTTATTCATCCATTCTCTTCAAGCTGTGCAATATTAATACCTGCAATAAAGAGTTCCTGTCTTCTTACCCCATGTCTGTTAAGTTGATTTGGAAGTTTACTTTGAAAGTCCAAATACACAATGTCAGCTCCTAGCCACATGCTTACTGACTCTCTGAAAGGACTCTAAAAAGTTGGTCAGACAATATTAACCCTTGCAGAAGCCATGTTGATCCACACCAAGACGTGTTCTTCTAATATGGCAATTCTGTCTTTAATAATGCTTTCCAACCATTTCCCCCAAACAATGTTAAGCTAATCAGCCTGCAATTTCACGGATCGCTTTTTAAAAGTTGGCGCTACACTGGCCACTTTCCAGTCCTCAAGTATGGAGGCAGATCTTACAAACAAGTTACATCTGTTTTTTGTAATAAAGTCAACAGCTTCACATCTGAGTTCTTTAAAAACTCTGGAAGGGTACCATCTTGACTTGGTGATTTGTTGGTTTTTAATTCATCAACCCCTGACATATCCAGTTAAAAGGATCAGGTAGCAGATGATATGAAAGAGACCCTGCAAATCTGCTGCCAGTCAGAGTAGACAATACTGGCTTTGTACAAGGCAGATTCCTATGTGCCTTTCTTCCTAAAATAAGCTGCCACCGCAAGAATGGCTGTGAATTTATTTGTTTCTGTTAGTTGATGGCTCATAAAATTTGACTTTTCAGACACAGACATAAGAGGCACAACTTTCCTAAAAGTCATAGCCAAAATGGATTAAAAAAAACTATACTAACAATGGTCAATGATTTGACTGCAGTACATAGGGACAAACATTCTGCTAGCCAGAGATATGGTAGCAATGGGAAACATCTGTTCCTTAAAACATGTTGCAAATTTACATTTTCAAAAGCTGTTTTCTCAGAACGCCATGGTCATTGCCAAATTTCCCCCTCAAAATTCTTTCACATACTTTACATTCTCATGTGCATTTCTGTTTAATTATTCGCTTTTGTATTGAAAACAAATATGAAAGTCAAGTAAAGGTCACCCATGAAGCATGAATGGACAAATCATGTGCACATGAGGGCCCCAAGGCAAAGACACCAACCCATAGCTGAACAATATGAAATCATGCCAAAGGTGTAAAGAAATTGCAAAAGACCTTAATTAACTCCCCAATACTCCCAAGCTGCAGTGTCAGAAAAGCATAAGCCTTATTAAGATGGGTTTTTATTATTCTTATTTTAACTTCAGAGTTTCTTTGCATGTTTTAACTACAAATTTTCAAAGGAATGGTCATAGTTCAGTAGTAGATTACATGTTCTGCAAAGAGAAGGTCCTCAGCATTACCAGGCAGGGCTCAAAGAAAACTTCCCTTCAGAGGCCTTGGAGAGCTACTGCTACTCAATGTAAAACAAGGGGGAAAGAACCTGATGCCCTCCAGATGTCGTTGGACTAAATTCCCATCAATCCCAGCCAGTACGACCAATGGTCAGGGATAATCAGTTTAATAAGCACATGTTTCCCCGCCTCTCAAGTAAATAATAGTGAGCTTGGAAGATTGGTGGTCTGACTGAAACAGCCTGCAAGTTGGAACACAACACATTCATGGAAGAGATAATGGGATAATGCACTTAAGTCCACTTTCAGGTGGAAAGAAAACACTGGCTGAGATACAAAGTATTCACAATGAATTCGGGGAGCAGTATGTTTCTTCAAGAGAACCCCCCACCCCATTTCCACAGCATCTAAACATAGCTCAGATGGTTAGAGCATGGTGATGATAATGCCAAGGTTGCAGGTTCAATCCTCGTAAGGGACAGCTGCATATTCCTGCACTGCAGGGGGCTGGACTAGATGATCCTCAAGGTCCCTTCCAACTCTACAATTTTATGATTCTATGACTTCCCAAAGCAGACTGTAATATGCCATTAAACTCTGCTGTTCTCTGTCCTGTAAAGGTAAAGGTACACCTGACCGTTGGGTGCAGTCGTGGACGACTCTGGAGTTGTGTGCTCATCTTGCTCTATAGGCCAAGGAAGCTGGCTTTTGTCCACAGACAGCTTCCGGGTCATGTGGCCAGCATGACTAAGCCGCTTCTGGCAAACCAGAGCAGCGCACGGAAACGCCGTTTACTTTCCCGCCGGAGCAGTACCTATTTATCTACTTGCACTTGGCGTGCTTACAAACTGCTAGGTGGGGAGGAGCTGGGACTGAACAATGGGAGCTCACCCCATTGCGGGGATTTGAACCGCCGATCTTCTGATCAGCAAGCCCTAGCGCCACCCGCATCCCTCTCTGCCCTGTAATTACCTATATCAATGAAGTCCTCTCACCTTCAACGTTCATCTTACATTTATGGCCCCATGCCCTGTGACGAGAAAAGGCAATACAAACCCAAAAGGCTTTCATGCAGACAAACCTGCTTGAAGATTCAGAGAACTGATGGGAGGGAGTAGGAGACAATCCTCTGACTTCAGAGTAATCAGGAGGCTGGCTTCCTCCACAATCAAGAGCATCTATTTTGAAAGAGGGATCTGTATGGGGGACCAAGTCTGTTTGTTCTTCGACACTCAGTTTTTCTCCTAGAAAGAAAGAAAAAAAGCTCAAAGGAAAGTAAATTGACTCAGCGACTGTTCAATTGATTCCCACCCCCCACCCCCCAACAATGTACCTGTAATCTTCTGCGTATAACTAGAACATGCAGAGATGAAAACACTGGGCTTTTGTGACTTGCACATAGCACAGCCCTTTTAAAAATCCATACTTTATAATAAACTTCTTATGGTGAGACTTCAACAACTGTTTCAGCAATGTCTCCATATACATCTGTCTCCACAGAGGCTCAGCGTTAAAGTGAAAGGAGAAATTACAAGGAATGGATTTCTCTCCCTACTGCAAAACAACAACTACTGCACAAACAGCCAATGAGAGTGAGTGGGAATGCATGTGTTGTTGTATGAGTGAGATGTGTGTTTTTTTCCCAATCACAAGATGAAACTAGGATAGAGAAAACTAGGGGGGGGGGAAAGCACTCTCAATGATGGCTCTGAATTATTCTCCTCATAATCACTGAACACAGAAGTCATGTGGTGTTAAAGCTTTGTAACTCAAATATTATCTGGGTGCTCTTCAGCAAAGCTTTAGAATTACCACTGTTAGCCCTCTGCATAGCACAATTAATGTCCAATGGCTTGGCTCCCGAAGTGCAGTTGCATGAAGGGAAGGTAATTTTGCTCATGCAAGGAAGAATCCACAGTTTTCACCAATTTCTCAGACCCGCTTCAGTTCCTAACCCCATCCTTCAGGGGCAGCTTTTCAAGAAGGCTGGGTTGGGTTGGGGCTGCAGCGAATGGGGAAAGGCAATAAAGCTCCAAGCCAATATATCAGCACACAATATTTACAGTACATTAAAAAAATAAATCTTGTTGCTCAAATGCTTATGACCTCCATTTTACGAATGAAGAACCAGGAATGGTACACCTTGACAGAACATGCCAAGAAAGTTCATCGTTGAGCTGTAACAAACCATGGTAATCAGAGGTCTAAAGCCATTCAATAGACCTTACTGGCTTAGGTATAATGGATACAATTAGGTATTCTATCACCTATTGTTATTAGCCAGAAAACAGTGTTCTCCACATGTTGTTGGACTACAACTACCGTTGTCCTTGACCATGCCATGATGGCTGGGGCTGATGTACAACAACTCCCATCAGTACAACAACAACATATGGAGGGAACTATGATGATCCTTGATCTCATGGTACACCCTTTCCATAGCACTGCAATGGAAGAATAGTGCACGCTTGGCAAATCCACACTGGGATCAACTCTGGCCTCACTGTGGAAGGATGTGTGAATCCAAAATTGGCCTCCACAGTCACTTACGGACTCCTTGTTAAAACCGTGTTTATGGAAAACAATCTTACTTGGCTATGAGTGATCGCCAAAGAAGAAGAAGGCAACTCCCATCAGTACTACAACAAGGGAAACAGTGTTGCCCTAAAACAGGCTTCCTCAACCTCGGCCCTCCAGATGTTTTGAGACTACAATTCCCATCATCCCTGACCACTAGTCCTGCTAGCTAGGGATTGTGGGAGTTGTAGGCCAAAAACATCGGGAGGGCCAAGTTTGAGGAAGCCTGCCCTAGAAGATAAGCTGCATGAAGCTGCTAGCGAAGTTCTATGGCTTGCCGGATATTTGCCAGTTCCAAGGCAAGCCACAAGAAGGACACTTGTCAGCCCCCTGATGGGGCACCGGAAATCACCAGTGGTCTGTATTGGGACATTAGCTGCGCAGGCATGATTTAAGATATGCCTTGAAACCAAAGGGGATCTAGCGGCACCCACATTTCAGTTCTGCCTCTGCTGTGGGCCCACACTTTCAATCCCAATTCTTTGTAAACCGCTTTGTGATATTTTCTGGTGAAAAGTGATTTATAAACTTCCAACCCTACAATTCTATAATTCTATGAAATAAGTGAGCAAATAACACTACAACGCAATCGGCTAGGATAGCTCAGTCCATGGAGCATGAGACTCTTACTCTCACTGTCATGGGTTTGAGCCCCACATTGTACAAAAAGATTCCTGAATTGCAGGGGGTTGGACTAGATGACCCTTGTGGTCCCTTTCCACCTCTGCAATTCTATGATTCTAATACAGACAGCGTCACCATGCTTTTAAAGAACTATGCCATCTGTTGTAAAGGAGATAATTGTGAACATTTGTTGACCTTGTAGGTCACCCTCGTATTGTGGCTTTTATTATGTTATCTAAATGTGTTGATAGGTTTGCTAGTTTTTTTTTTTGCAAAACAATCCTTCTAAAAAGAGTGCAGAGAGAGAGGAATGTAAGTTTGGACTTCTTCCATCCAATAATATTTCGAAATATACAAAGCGGGACAACTATCGCCAAACAGGCTAAACGTGATAACTTTTATTCTTGGAAGCATCTCAAGCTTGCTTTGGCTTCAAGAACTGCATACGATGTCAGCGATAAGGTTCAAAAAACATCTTGGTATTTCTATTTATTTTTATTCAGGAGGGCTTTTGCTAAGTGAAACAAGTCAAGAGCCTCTGACAGGACAAAATAGCAATCTTGTTAACTTGAGAAGGGCTGGGGTTTAGACAACTTAAACGAAACCGACTGCCAACATGAAAATGCAAAAGATGCAGTCAAAAATGAGGCTCCCCATATATGGGATAAAAATAACAACCATAATAATTTTAATAACAAACCAAGATCAAAAAACACAGTTTGATTCTGGTTTGCATTATCTAACTTTGATCAGAACAGCCCAGAGTTTCTGAATTCAGAACACATAGGATGTGTTCTGATGTGTGTCTGAACCAGCCTGGGATCTGAAAGAAAGATTATTTTGAATTACTAGTAGTCAACACAGAATAAAAGCAAGGTTCGGTGTAATGAGAACACCCAATTCCCCCCTGAGCCGGAAGTCCACAATGTACTAAATTATACCACACATTTCAGACCCCATCATGGTTAAAGTGTCCACTGACAAGGAGCAGAAATGCCTTCCTATGTCAAGGGCTAATAAGGAAATCTGAAGTTTCCAACAAGTGGTTTTACATGCTCACATTTAAAAGAGAGAGTGGATTCTAATGAAACACTGACAATGGCCGATGTTGAAATACGGTAAGCTCACAACTTACATGCATTTAACTTATGTGCATTCAGCTTAACAGGCTTGGCAAAAAAATAAGAAGAAAGGGGGTGGGGGCAGAAGTCTAGGAAAAAAGACTCTGGCAATCCTACCCACCACTGGTGTTTTGGCTATATGCAGTTTTGGCTTTAGGAGCAATCCCTGGAATGTAAACCTCGCATAAGTTGAGGACTTATTGTACTACCTTTTCAGACTCAGCTTAGAATACACTTACATAAATACAATAATAATCTGGCTTAAAGTTAGGCAAATATTTCAGAAACCTGTCAAACCAAGGTCTTGGAAAATCAAGCTTCCATTCTTACAACAATTAATATCCAACATTAGTAAAGGTAAAGGGACCCCTGACCATTAGGTCCAGTCGTGGCCGACTCTGGGGTTGCGGCCCTCATCTCACTTTATTGGCCAAGGGAGCTTCCAGGTCATGTGGCCAGCATGACTAAGCCGCTTCTGGCGAACCAGAGCAGCGCACAGAAACGTCAGACATTAATATCCAACATTAATTTGCGTACCAGTCTCCATAGGTAGTTCTTGAGCAGTTGCCTCTTCCTGCTCTGGTCCTTCTTCCTTTATTTTACTTGCATTTTTCTTTCTCTTGTTCACTTGGTCAATTAAAGCCTGAAATTCAGCCTTATGTTTTTTTCCCTGAAAAACAAAATCACATTGGCACATAAGGAGCAAACGGAATACATACATATACTAACAGAATAGAAAGTGCTGGTGAAGAGCTGGTGCTGGCTGGGGCTGATGGAAGTGGGAGGCCAGACCATCCTGAGGGCACCACGTTGACAAAGGCTCCTCTAATTACTCATTCACTTTCAATTTCAGGTGCATTTTCACCTAAAGCGATTCATAGCAACAGATCCTCACAACAAACTGGTGGGTGCTAGCAATTACACCAGGCAATATAAAGTTGTAAATAGTCACTTGCCCATGGCTAAGAGCAATTACTATCAGCCAAAAAGACAGGAGAGGGTTCAAAAAGATAATAAAAATAGAAAGAGTTGGCACTCCCTTCCTCCTTATCAAGGATACAGGTGCATCCCAAAAGGTGCCAAAATAATAATAAAAAAAGGTTTGTTGACTAGTAATCTTTCTGGACTCATTTGCAAGGCAGAAATATTTTCTGCTCTTAATGCAATTTCATTCATTGCTCCTACTCACTGTGGAAATAACGAAAATAATGGTTTTAAATCTTTTATTTTTATGTTGTGAACCACCCTGAAATCTACAGGTAAAGGGCAGTATACAAATTTAATAAATAAAATAAACAAACAATGCTGCTGTGACCCACATTAAATGACACTATGGAAATATTACAAATACTGCTTTGACAGAAAGAGTTATTTACTTAAAAATCACCGATTTCACAACAAGCTTCACACCCACCAATTTCATTGTCCAGATATTTAATACTGGTAGTGCTGTACCCATCAAAAACAACAGTGACATTTCCATCTGTGACTGATGCCAAATATGATGCTGATACGCTCATTTGTGGGAGGGAAAGAATTACAATTAGCAGAAGAAGGGGGTGAGACATTCACTGCTGACAAAACAGATATCCTGGTCCTTCCCTTGTATCTTGGAAATGATGGAGGACACAACATCCTCAAAATATCAACCATCTTACTGCTCCTGAAAATGCTATGAGTGGTTGTGCTACAATCAGCTCTATTCTTGGAAGGTACATATATCCCATCTCTATTCCATCTTCCTTGCCAAAAAACAAACCAACTATATTGCCCCAAAACCAAAGAAAAAATGTCCTCAAGGATTAGCTTGTGGACAGATCAAGTGCAAAATACTGCCCTCTATATATGATATATGAAAATCCAGACAGATGCAGTGAATTGCCACTTGTGCAGATATGTGTGATACGACACGAGGATGGTAACTTTTGCATGAAGAAAGGTTTGCTCAGTGGTTTGCAAACACTACAATGGAAGTACCTGCACAAATATGTCAGCAATGATTAGTGAGGAGGAGGAGGAATAAGCAGCAGCAATACATGTGCTCATTCATTTAAATTGGTTCAATTGCTTCACAGTATTCTCTTTCGAAGGCCTTTATGGATGGTTTTCAATAAAGCTCAACAACAGAAAATGATCACCTTTCCCTTCTTGTGTGGCTAGATATTGGTAAACGCTGAATACATAACAAAGAGGCATGAAATTAGAATGGTAATTTTTTGAGTTAGATGACATTAAGGGCAATCTTAGACTTTTCTCTTCTACAGTAATGGGGAAGAACACAAACACACACAGCCCCTGTGTGGGTTGTTGATTTTCTTACAGTTCCCGCTGCTAAAAGGACTGATGTAACCAGACTGTATTTTTACTGAAATATTTCAGAGGAGCTTTACCTACACAGCCCACATAGCAGTGTTATCAATTTATCGAGAGAAGCATGTCCACCCTGCTCAGCTAAAATGCTCCAATGCACAGGTCTAAAATCTCCGCTGCTTTTCCCTCCCTGAGCTTCTCTGCTTTATGAGCAGCAGATCTCTTGTCAAAGACATCAATTTAACCAGGATATTACTGAAGGGAATATATGTGTGTGTCACATACAAATTCTACTCTATCTGTTAGCAGAGGATTCAGGGTACTTATGATGACTGCATTCATTTCATCATCTTCTGGTATTTTGTGAAAGGAGTGCTTCTCCTTTTTGGATATCCCTAATCTCCTCATTAAAGAGTTTGAAAAATGAGACAGCAGCTCAGGTAGAAGATTATCTGTACTGGGCATCACCTTCCAGGTTCCATCAGAACACATTATGTACCCAAAAGTGTGAGGAGTACATCATTTAAAGGGCTCGTAGGGAGACAAAACATAACTGTTTAAAAGTGATTTTAGTGTTGAAGAACACTGACTCGATATTTTGGTTTGTTCCAAGGCCAAAACTATTTATTTGGCTTGTGAGACTAACATCTTTGAAATGACAGAAAAACTGGGATAAACAGAACACTCATTTCCTTTAAAAAACTTAAAGAAGTCCTAATCCCAAAGCATAGCATGTAATAAAACTTCAGAAACATTCTTTAAAAGTTCAGATCTGCTAATAAAATGGTGACTGCTCAAGAAATCCACTAAGAATCTCTGAGATGGCGGAGGGCTCTGGTGAAAGAGGAAATAATAATTTGATGAATGACAATTTTGATAATAAATGATATAGCAGCCCTCAGCAACTTACTTAAAAGGCACTTTTGAAGACTTCGCAGGATAACTGTATTTTGTATGCAAGCACAATACACATACTCTGCCTTCTCAGAAATCCATCCAAACAGGCCATCCTCGGAGACTTCTGGATGCCAAACCATCCATTAAGCAGAATGCAAGCAGATGGACAGGCTACATTGTTTGCTGCTTATTCCAAAAACTGGGAAAATGAAATGTTTTCCAACACTATTTGACAAACAGCATTAAAAACAACAGTCCAACAATAAGGATGCAACCCTTCTTTCCTGTGACTATTTACTGCTAACAAACAAACAAGCACACACGCTTGTGCTAGTTATACAACTGTAGGAATCTTTAAGAGAATTATGCAGAAGAGTAGTTGACAGTGCCAACTGACAAATAATAAATTCTACTGGAACCCAGGGATGACACCAGGAAACAATCCCCCCTATATCAGAGCAAGAACTATTAAATATCTGCATTGTGCCTCTTTTTCCCCTAGTGAAGCTAATGCCGGCTCTCTCTCTTTTTTCCCCCCTAAGGGGACAGATTGTTCGAGAAAATGGCATGTGGGAAATGCTTAAACGCATCTTCACTGCTGCCACCACTCAGATCAAAATCAAATCCACACCCTGCTGAAGATAACTGCTTCTAAGTTTTAACAAACAATTATTAACACATTTGGGAGATCAGGTTTGGATTTCCATGTCACGTCTGTTCTGGCCCTAAGACAGCACAGTGGTACCTCAGGTTAAGAACTTAATTTGTTCTGGAGGTCTGTTCTTAACCTGAAGCACCACTTTAGCTAATGGGGCCTCCCGCTGCCACCGCATGATTTCTGTTCTCATCCTGAAGCAAAGTTCTTAACCCGAGGTACTATTTCTGGGTTAGCGGAGTCCGTAACCTGAAGTGTCTGTAACCCGAGGTACCACTGTAATTGTCTATGGTCTGTTGTTATTACTGCTATATCACCCTTCATCCAAGAAGCTTAAGGCAGTGTGCAGGAATGTCACCCTCTCTGAATACTACAACCCACTCTCTGTTTCTCCTGGCACTCTACTACCCCAAGTTGCATCCTGATTGAATGCTCCTAAAGACATTACCCACACTTCCTTAGTTTTGGTCTCATTAACCTAATGGTTTAAAAACAGGGCTGGGAAACCTGCAAATTTCTGCAAGGCTTCAAGGAGTTTAAGCACCAGCTACAACTAGCTACTTTGCTATGTATCTTAAATCTGTAAGCTAAGAAAAAAACACTTGCACAAACTGTAGCGTGACATTTGCTGTTTTCAGAAACATTATAAACAAAAACATGCATTAGCTTGTGGCTCTCTAGCAGCCTGTCTCATTCCAAGCTGAACCCTCTGCATACCCAAGCCTAAAAATTTATTACAACACATTCTGCCAAAGTATCTTATTTACATAACAGAAAAATAAAACAAAAATAAAGCCTTCATGCTTTCAAGTACCAGTGCTACTATTGCCAAGTGATCTGAAGAAAATAAAAATGAGCTTCTTATGATACTAAGTCAGGCTTCCTGGTCTAAGGGCATGCATTCCAGAGAATTTAAATTCTAGGCAAATGGAAGAAGAGAGGATTGCATGATACAGAATGTAGGGGGTGGACCAGAGAATTCAATAATGAGACATACCCTGTGGGTCTATCTAAGCCAGTATGCTCTGCTCTGCCTTCAGAGATGTTCTACAGGGCCTCAAGAAGATTTCTCCATCAAACATGGCATCTGATCCTAGTTTTAACTAGAGATGCCACAGAATGAATGTTGTTTTCTACATACAAAGCATGCACTCCAACACTTAGCTATGGCCCCTCTGCCAAATTCAGTAGCCTCATATATGCTCAGATGTTCAATTTTCATTCAGAACCATTACACTTGCAACTCAAAAAAAGGGCCTGTGTCCTTTGTTTTGATTTCAGCAAAGAAGAATGTAGAGCTTTCTGGCTGTTTTGCTGAATGCTTAAAAGGGACAGTTACAAGGCAACTTGCCAGTTTCAGCCTGCCAAGACAGGTTTAAAACCCCCAGCACCACGATGAACCTACTGCAGATTCAATGCCCTGAAGAACCCAAGAACACGCACAAATTGAGAAATGAACTCAACACCGTAGGGAAGAAATGGTTCAGTGCCACTGCTTTACTTGAAAGTTTTATAGCAAAAAAGGTCTTTCCAACCTTCAGAGGCCATCCAGCTTTCATATACAAAGCTGGTTTTGTGATGCAAAGATCCAATTAAGCTTTTGAGGTCAAACTAATCTAGCTAACACCTATCTTATAGTAAAGAACTGTAGCATCTTACATTTTAACCTAAAAGTAGTGCGAGAACCAACATTGTGCGAGAAGACTTTCATTCACCCATTCACTCTTTCTTCTCCTTCCCTCTGCGGCCCCACTGCCCCCATCCTGCATCTGCTTTGGAGGATCCCCCAACCCTCCAGAGCAGACTG